GGAAGTATGCGGAGCAATTGTGAATGGTGGAGGTTTGGGTCGAGAAGAACCAAAATTTTAAAATTCTGAATAACTGATTTTGTGGTCGTCTTTATTTTGACAACATTTTGACGATGAGAGTTGAGAATTGACAACCCGACTCATTCTTGCCATCAGAATCAGACTTATGGTTTGTCCGTTTTCTATGTGCACTAGCTGCGATTGTTAAAAGAAGTGACTTCGTAAACAATGAAAATCGTCTGAAATTCACAATGCATTATGCAATACCACAACTAGTAGGATGACTAAGCCATTGATTGATATTGCTTTAAGCCACAGCCTCGTAGTATGTAAACATAACACAAGATATTAAAATAAAATCAAAAGTGAACATCGTAGGTTATATACTTCAATCATTCATTTCAGAATGCAAATTCACAATAAAATGAATGGTTTTTGCAGTTTTCAACCTAATCGTAAATGATATACACTTACTCAATTAAATGTATTTTTTGTCTTAATATTCCAACATGTTTGCTTTATTTAAATGATAAAGTTCATGTAGATATGTTATTGTAGTAAGGCCATGGCCTACTCAAATTTACACGGCCTGATATCTTACCATAGCAAGGCCAAAAATGTAAGGTCATTAAGGCATTCATGAATTTTAAATGATTTCGACTTCTACCACTTAAATGCCAAATCAGATTGGAGTATATACAAGAGATCAAGTGTCTCAGAGACAAACAAGACATTTGCATGCGGAAATTGAAACAAAACTCGAATTGAAAGTAGATGCCTTTTAAAAAACGCAGTCTCGGTTAATATAAATAAAATTACATCAATTGCCTTTGGAACGCTTGCTTTGCTTTAGTGCAACAACTCGATCTTTGACAACAGTCTCTGTTCGCCTTTTCCTCTGATTGTTGAGGAAAACGTTACAAATAATTCTTATTGCCCGGTTATTGGCGATATCTTCTTGCTGTTCACAGACGAACCCTTCGTTACACAAAACGGTTTTCACAAGATCCTCCGCAACAAATCGCGATGGCAAGCTAGAGTCTTGAATAATATTTGCTGCTGCATTCAGTACAGCAAATCCATGAGAAACAAAATTACCCAACACAGCAGATGGTTCATTCAATCCGCCACGAGAAAGTAACTGCACATATGGCGAAACACCATTATTGGTTAGTAGTTGCCCACAGCAACTATTGCAAAGCTTAATCAGCTTTTTTGCAATGTACCCGGCAACGTTATCAGAAATTTCCTTAGAAGCATCCGTCAAACATATCCTATTGGACTCAGATATGATAGGCTGCACGGAGTCTCTAAATTCTGCTACTTTTTCCGGTGATTTTTCGTCGGTGACTTTGACCCGATCATCAATGTCCAATCCTTCCTTCACAAGGCTTTTTATTTTTAGAATCTTTTCTGAGAGTACCACATCTTTTAAGCCAACCAAAAAACAACCACCACTCATTTGGCGGTACTGACCATACCGTTTTTCCAAAGGATCACTCTGGAAGCGCGAAGTCAGCACATATGAATAGCCCTCACTTAAAAGTTGTTCAATGAAAGCAGCATGGCAGCGAAGGGTGCATCGAAGCGCATGACTAGTTTGAGCAGTAAGATTGAATTTGTCGCAATTCGGCAATTTAAGGTTATCCCACTCGTCAATCCAATCCGCACAAGCTCTCAAGAACTCAGGTTATTTGTCATTGAGAACTGCAGCATTCCCAAGGCGATTAGAGGTGTTAAATCGGGATTTGGAATTCAAAATTGTCCACCAAACATCAACAAGGTGCAAGAAACTTGCAGCGTCGTCGGCTTTGTCAGGAAAATAATGTCTTATGCCGGTAGCAGTTGAACGTGAAAAAATGGCTAAAGCTACGGGTACATTCTGTTTACGATTTCCCGGGTGTAAAACTATCGCACTCTGTTCAGGCGCTGCCCTTAAATTTGCCTCAAGTTTCTGATCTTTCTCGTACACCTCATGAAGTAACTGCAACGAAATCTTTCCTCCGCTTACTGAAAGAGGGTCATAAAACCCAGTAAAATTGAAAGTAGGAAAAAGAAACCTTTTGCGATTCAGCAAATTATTTCTGATGTTCTTCACCAGGTGAACAGTGCCGAAAAACAGATAAGTCTTCTGACTATTCAGTGTGATAAACAGATCATCAACACCGGCGCCACACGCAGAGCGCAATTCCTTGTATGAATTGACGCTCGAAGAATGATCATCCGATACAATTCCTCTGACACGGAATCCGTTTCCTTGAAGTAGTTTCAAACAGGCTAAAAGCTCGTGTTTTAACTATTTCCCAGTTATTTTATTCTCGGGAAGGGCTTTCACAATATATGGAATGTTACTATTTAACCCAACGATCATAAAACATACCACACCTTTATACAGCTCACCTTGTTCATCTGCGCCATATGATTCACCAGCAATGTACTCCTCGCACTTCTGAAGAGATATTTCAATCCACGATCAGAATCCACGATTTTGTCCACGATCAGAATCACATCATCAGAAATACTGCCGTTGTCTTTAAGAAGGTTCGCAGCTTTCAATGCATCGATCTTCCCTGCTGTTATTCGCCGGAAGAAATAAGTTCTACATTTATAATAAGGCTACGTTTACACTATACCAAAATGCTATCGTTACAGGTTAAATTTTCTATGTATTAAAATCATTGATATCGTTCAATGTAAAAAACAAAATTAAATTGACTAAATCTACTAACTTAATAAGCATTTACTCCAAACTGTTACAACTTTAAAACAAATGAAGATGTCGTGATGAGCGAATCCTGTAGATAGTGTAAACACAGCTTAAGCCTCAAATTTTGCCAAGCTGAACCTCAATGTAACATGATTATTCAATACACAATGATGGCTCTAGGGATAAGAGAGGAAGGGGCAGATTAACCTTCTTCCCCTAAATTTATTACTCTGTCCTTAGTTATCCCGCACAAATATTTTTATCTTACTTTTGTACAGAAGAAAAACTTAAAAACTTAAGACTTTAAAATTTTAAATTAAAGAAGCACTTGTAAACACAATCACCATTAATTCATGTCAATATTTTACCGTATATAATTTACCTATAATTAAATAAATTACCACTGCATCACGTTACTATCATATATGTTAAATCATTTATATAATATTGTCACTAACACTGAAGACATCAAATGCTGTTGAAACATGTTTACTTTGAAAAACTCCAATGCTTACCTTAGTTGAAAAACTCCAATGTTTCTTCAGAATAGTGACCAGGGATATCGATGTACCGGGCGGAAAGCAAATTCTTGTTATAAATACTAAAGCCTAAGGATAAGTGGAATTCACAAGGAAACTCTATGTCTGTATACTTTGTGATTGTGTGTGTTTTTCTTTCTTTCGTGATTTCCACGTATCCCACTTCATACCATCTTATCCCACTTTTATTTTCACCTTTTTCATCTCACCATGTAATTTAATATTATGTAAATAGCTATTATATATATAAATCCCTTTATACTTGTAATTCAAGACTGTCTGATGATGTCCTGAGAACCAAGACGAAACGTTACGCTACTAACTAATTATTCCTTTTTATACGTCATTTTTGTATTGAATGGCTCTTTTAAAATCAATTTGCAGAGCTTTAATATTTATAATAAGTAAAATGTTTATTGTTATGTTTACAATTGTCACAAATTGAAACTGTACATTTAACGTTGTATCAACACCAACATCATGATGATAAATTCTATTTTAGCAATTGATAACAGAAAGTGAGAATTAATATTCTTCAATATTTTAAACAAGAAAATATCATCCAAAAAAATTTAACTCCTCAATTCAAATGAACTTATGTCAAAAACGTAAAAGATTTTCATCACAGTTATTGACATGACGTCATGATGATGTTTTCACATACGGGAATTGTTGACAGCATATAACATTTTGTTTCTCTAAGTTCATTTTGTACATAATAAACGTACAAAAATGATCTCTCACATTTTTCAACGAATGACCATAAAACTCGAGAGCTATGATCTATAACAGGACCGACACACGGAATTGAGGTCACAGAAAATTCCTTGTTTTTAAATGACAAACGAATGGAGAATTTATGTGAATATTTACCTGAATATATCCCTGAATGGGCAAATAAAGAAATTAAGAACGCCCAGTTGAAGCATTGGACGTATTTGAGAATATTGAAAGGAAAAAATCCAGTTTTCAAACATTGATTTGCCCGGCGGCTCGTGGCCACTCAGTTTTTATCACAATGACGTCATACCCGTGTATATATAACTGTATAGACAACTGTTAAATGTTGTCTATATGTTAAATAAAAATAATCAAATTACTTAAACATATATTTTTATTAAAAAGTAAATTATCAACATGAAATTTGTTCAGAGATACAATACATAATAATAAGTTTGACAGAGCATCTTACAGTAGTAGTCTAATCTAGAGGATGTCCTGTTTAAATGACAATTCATTTATAAAGATTACAAGTACAATCTTAGAAAGGAATAAACAAATATTCATGATCAATTAGTAAAGAAGCGCTCTTTTTACATACAAGTCATTTGTGTTATAAAAAGCAATTATACATCGTTTCAGATTATTGCAAAACACAGATAATATTTTACATTCTTTAATAGCAAGTGGTAAGAAATTCCAAGAAATAGTACCGATAAATTTAAAAGATTTTTTGCAAAATTGGTCCAAATTTATTTTTGGTAAATATAGATAATTTCTTAAAGATTGCCAGGTAGAATAAGTATACTTCTTCTGTAGAAGACTATAGTATGTGGAAACAAGTAATCATCCTTACGACCATCAACATCTATGTGCAATTTTCTCAAAAGGTTTTTGAATTTTCTATTAAAGTTTGAGTTGACGTATTTATTCAGGAACGTTAAGTTTTAAAAATTGAATTCTGCAATACGTTCTGTCAACTATAGCTAAAGTTCCTGTATTGGAATGCATAGTTATTTCGAACATTGAATTACCTTTTTCGTCAAATTTGGCGCATATTTCACCACTCTTTAAATCTACAGCAACCAATGACTCATGACGAGACACTCCAATGCAATAAGATTTGTATACGAGTAGGTGAGAGAACAAATATTGTTTACCGGCATCATGCAAAATCTCATTCACATCACCATTCTCGTGAACATTAATTACATAAATGCCCATAATTCTGTAGCCTTTGCAAATTGTTATGACTGCTTGTTTACTATCACTTATACAGCAATTGAACTTTAGATCATTTCCAGTTATCTGTTCTTCAACAAATTTTTCAATGACAGCTGCTATGGGTATTTCTGCAGTATGCCAAGGTTTCAAGTAAAGTTCACTGTTGCTATTTTCCCATTTCCATAATGTGTATTCTGTTTTGTTTACAGTTAAAATAACAGAATTATCAGGTGATACAGCTGCTGCTTTTAATTTTAAACTATCGACAGGAAGTCTTTTGTTGTATTGTATCTCACCTTTGTTAATTCTAACAACTTGAAAAAACTTTTCTTTGTCAGTACAAACTAAGACATCACCAAATAATAAGACTTCCTTAAGCTCAAATCCAATGTCAACTTGCTTTGCTTGAGTAGAATCTACAAAATTTTCAGATGAAGTTGATATCTTTGTAAAACGATAAGAACTATTCCATATCCACAGTAAACCATCCGACCACCAACATCCAAGTGCATACTGCAGTTGCATTGGTACAGTTTGAATAATAGTGCAACGTTCAATGCTCCAAATATGAATAGTGACGTGGTCATCAACAGGGTGGCCACCATCAGTGAGAGCAGCAAAATAAGATCCGTCCGGTGAAAAACAACCACATTTAATTTTTAATTTCTCAAAGATAAATGAAGGTCTCCAAAGATTATGAGTTTTGAAAATTTTAAGCTTGGAAAAATACGGCACAACGTGAAATTCCTTAAACGAGATGGGATGGACTTTTTTATGAGTCCTAGCAACACATGGACACCTAACAGGTCGTAAATAAGACTCGATTTCTCCTTGATCGTTGCGTTTTGTCAACTGAGTGATTTCAGAAAACTTTCCATTCTGGCTTGTATGATGAAAAATACAATCACGATAATGGTGGGTTATCAGTAAATGTAAAGGTAGTGAATATTTCCTTTTCCATTAAAAAATTTTGAATTCCTCTGGGAGTGGAAAAAGCTCGAAATTGTCGACGAATTGTGCAATATAGAACTCTGAATATTTATCGGTGTATTGTAGTTTTTGGTAATCAACAATGCAGCTTTGGTCAATTCTTTGCGAAGTTAATGAATTCCATGCAGTGAACACACCTTTATGAAAATCTACGTAAATTCTTACATTTCTTGCTGTAATAAACAAACCAGAATCTAAGAAAGAGCAATGATGAACGACATCATCTGACTGTAAACATAACAACAAACGTCCATTGTTAACGTCCCACAACTTTACTTCAGGAGATCCATCACTAGTTACCAGTCTATTTCCGGTAGGTGAAAAGGAGCAACAACAGATGTTTCCACGTACAAAACCAAATTCCTTTGCATATGTATCGTAACATTTGTCATATAGGGACGTAAATTTTTCTACATCAACTACATCATCCCATTTATCCAACCTTGAATCATCGAGTGCAGTGCCAAGAATGCATCGTTCTTTAAATTCTGGAAGTTCAAAAATAGATATTTGACCATTTTCATATCCTACAGCAAGAAATTTTTCATTGGACGACACACAAAGAGATGTAACGTTAGCACGCAAGGGGACAGTCAAATGATGATGGTATGTTAAACATGTTGAGTCTAAATCCTCAAACCAAACAAGCTTTCCTTGTTTTAATAAATCCCTTGCCAATAATCTTTTTTCGTCACTGACATAAATTTTGTTGGCAATAATTTGTAAATAAATTATGCTTTCATCAAACTCATAACTCCTATATTTCCGTGTCGTAAGCAAATATACTAGTGCTTCCTCAAGTACATCTTTTTTTATGAAAGTACGTAGTTCCTTAATGATTTCAAGCAATTCTGACCTAATGGTATGCATGTTAATGTCTTTCACATCCATTAACCTCGCACAAGCCACTTTGACATCTACTGCCCAGCTAAAGTCAACATCTTCACCACATTTTGACATATGATAGATTCCATTCTTCAAAGCATATTTAATCATAGCAGTGTTCATCTGATCTTCAAAAATGTTCATCTTCTTAATTTGATCAAACTCTTTCTTACAAGCATGCCACAAGAACTTATGACCATTTTTTGGATCAACTGTAAACTCATGCTGTTCGTAACCATCTGATTTTAACCAATCAATTAGAGATTTGTGATATACGGTTAAACAATCATCGTAAACAGGCAAAATTTGAGATAACAGTTCAATGATTTTACTGCGGACTTCAAACTTGATGTCACCAGAAAAACCTAAATAGCTAAACAGTAAAGTTAGTGGTAGAAACTTCCGACAGGCAGCCAACAATTCAAGAAATTGCATGAAAGTAGTTTCTGAGATAACAGAATTTCTGCCACTTTTGTTCATTATCAATTCTTTTACTCTTTTGAATTGCTTTGTGTAAACACCGCTTATCCCACTAGGGACCAATTGTTGAATTTTGTTGTAAGTAAGCTCAATATTTTCTTTATTCAAGCTCAGTTGTGCGTAATACGCATAAAGAAATGATCCCTCACATTTTTCAACTAAATCCATTAGAGCGTAATGATTATTCAACTGATGTCTCAAGTACTTGTGTAGGTCTTCTTCGTTGTTTTCATTACGAGGATTAGTTGTAATTTCCACAGGATTCATGTCTTTCAACTCCTTTTGAACAGGAAGTTCTGGACGACTGGTGATAAAGATTTTAATCCATTTAGGCAGTCGGCCAAATTCATCAGTAATCAGTTCCAACAATTCACTTTTGCCTTCAACTTGGCTTTCATCTAAGGCATCAATAACCAAAAGCATTGGTTCATGATCGTCCAATGAATGCAATGGATTATTTAATAAAACACGGAATATATCGGCGACTGATTTGTAGGAATGGTTTCTCTGCAATTCTTCATTCAGTTTAGATTTGAAATGTAATATTGTACCACACATGTTACTAGCCAATGATTCTATTAACATTCGAGGATTCCTCTCATCTGATCGATTATATCTGCAGAAATGAGAAGCAGCAAGTTTCTTCTTTACAGAATATCGTCGACACACCTCAGCAGCAAACACACTTTTACCAACGCCAGGACCGGCAATCAAAATCATGACATTAGAAGCATTTTCACTTCTATCGTTAATCCAAGTGTCGAGTTTTTCAAATAACCATTGTCTAGTGCCTTCAAGGTATTTCTTGTTAAGATCTTTTATAAGACCTTTAAAATTACACTTTCCAAGTTTCTGAAGATCTGAGCATATTTTGTCCTGTATCATTTCTCTTACTCCAACAACATCAGCTTTTGTTGCCATCACTTGTGTAATTTTAGCTACATCAGCTTTTGTTGGCATCTGTTTTGTAATTTCAGCTACATCAGCTTTTGTAGCCATCTCTTGTGTAATTTCAGCTACATCAGCTTTTGTTGACATCTGTTTTGTAATTTCAGCTACATCAGCTTTTGTTGACATCTGTTGTGTAATTTCAGCTACATCAGCTTTTGTTGACATCTGTTTTGTAATTTCAGCTACATCAGCTTTTGTTGACATCTGTTGTGTAATTTCAGCTACATCAGCTTTTGTTGACATCTGTTTTGTAATTTCAGTTACATCAGCTTTTGTTGACATCTGTTTTGTAATTTCAGCTACATCAGCTTTTGTTGACATCTGTTGTGTAATTTCAGCTGCATCAGCTTTTGTTGACATCTGTTGTGTAATTTCAGCTACATCAGCTTTTGTTGACATCTGTTTTGTAATTTCAGCTACATCAGCTTTTGTTGACATGCTTTCTTTAGTTTTGTCCACTTTATTTTTTATGTTTTCCACATCTTCTTTTAATTCCTCAGCTACACCACACCAGTATTTTAACATTTCAATATAAGTTGCCTCATCGGTGGTGAGTGGAGCTTTCTTTAATTCATCTATTTCAGTTTGTTGAATACCCAGACCAACCAATGCTTTTGAAATTTTCTGCCACAAGTTCTCAAACACACTATCATCTACACTAGTTTTAGTTATGTGACCGTAAACTTCGTTTCGATAAAACTTTATTCTTGCAATATTTGCTGAGATTGAATAATCAGAAGAGGAAGGAAGTTTATCCCATCCACCACGTGGCGCTGGTAGACTACATATATTTCGCAACAAGACAGTCAATAATGTGATGTCAAAGTTTTCAATGTCAGGGTCACCAATTGACGGGTAAAGAAGATCCCATTGCTCATTCTTGATGACTTTAAATTTCTTAGATTTTAGATAAGCTAGTGTTTTCATTGTAGAGGGATCTTTAAGTTTACCAGCTAAACTTGATGGCTTTAATAAAGATTGCAATTTTGTTTTTAAGGCTTGGGTTCCTTTATTGATTAAAAGTTTACTCAAACGAGATCCATTTTCCTCAATTTTTAATTTTTCATGTGGCGAAGCCATTTTTTATTCTAGAAATGAGGAATGAGTTTGTGAAAAAAGATATCATTTATAATGTACAAAATGTTCACAAAAGTTAAAAGGATAAATTAAAAATAGTACGACAAGTCATTTATAAAGACTTGTGTGCTTCATTTCTTTCTCTCGATAAAAATTGTGCTCACTGCCTAGTGACATGACCCAGTAATTGATCTTACATCAAGGCATTAAAATAGTAGATTTGATACAATGAAAAAAAAATTAAAATGATGATATTTTCACCTACTCGGCGCGAGAGACAGCATATACCTTGCAATAGTAAATCCTAGTCAATAAATAATATATCTTATTTGTCTAACAATCGTGTGGTGAAGAGATACGTCGTTCTTATAACAGGATATATCAAACTGATTTGCTGTGTTGCATGAATATATTTGCTTATTAACATTTTGATAAGACTACATTGCTGATGATTCTGTTCCAATTTAAATTTTTGCTAGACTGCAGTTTAGCGGACACCCGAAGCGCTTGTGATTGCGGGCTCGTTTTTGCTTGGGATTATAGGCTAGGGTTTGGGTCAGCGTCCAAGGTGTCCGCTAAACTGCAGTAGTCCAACATAGGACAATAACTTAAGTCATTAAGTAATAACTTTACATTTTCCTCGCCAAAACACAGAAAACAGGCTGAGAGATAAACAACGCGACATATGAATAAAATGCAAGTACGGAATGCACAGAGTATCAAGTTCTTTGTATTTTTTTGCCCAAACGAGATATATTTGACGTCTGTAATCACCAGAAAAGCGTCTAAATAAATGATATTTCAGCTGTAAGGTTTTGACCATACTCGATAAAACAAAGTGCAGATTATGCGTTTTAAAGCATAGGTATTTGAAGAACAACATAAATATTGACTTTACTTAAAACAATTCTATTCGTGATTGTTCACATTTGCGACTATCACCGATGACACAGCCGAGGATATCACGACGAACAAACACTGCCTGCCTCACTGCCTCACTCACACACTTTTTCAGTATGGCATAGTGGTTAGCCACGCATGCACAGCGGCTACCCAGAAAAACTAACAAGTGATAAATTACATTATTGTTATAATATAATTACAGTATAACTTGATGTCTATAACTGCTCCCCCCCAAAAAAATAGTGTTGCTCCCTCAAATATTACATCCTAGCCACATGCCTGCTCATATTGATAACACTTAAAGCGTGATTCCGTTTGAAGATGCTTCGAGAATTTCTAACAAGTTTATAAATTGATGAATGTCTTTTGCATGATGAGAT